AGCTGGTATTTTGGCCCATTACTCCATGCAGATCTTCTCGAGAGCAGTGATGTTTTGGGGCTGTCGCCGAGCAACACGGACTTTCAACTCCCGCCACAGATTTTCTATGGGGTTGAGGTCTGGAGACTGGCTAGGCCACTCCAGGACTTTCAAATGCTTCTTACGGAGCCACTCCTTTGTTGCCCGGGCGGTGTGTTTTGGATCATTGTCATGTTGGAAGACCCAGCCTCGTTTCATCTTCAAAGTTCTCACTGATGGAAGGAGGTTTTGGCTCAAAATCTCACGATACATGGCCCCATTCATTCTGTCCTTAACACGGATCAGTCGTCCTGTCCCCTTGGCAGAAAAACAGCCCCATAGCATGATGTTTCCACCCCCATGCTTCACAGTAGGTATGGTGTTCTTGGGATGCAACTCAGTATTCTTCTTCCTCCAAACACGACGAGTTGAGTTTATACCAAAAAGTTCTACTTTGGTTTCATCTGACCACATGACATTCTCCCAATCCTCTGCTGTATCATCCATGTGCTCTCTGGCAAACTTCAGACGGGCCTGGACATGCACTGGCTTCAGCAGCGGAACACGTCTGGCACTGCGGGATTTGATTCCCTGCCGTTGTAGTGTGTTACTGATGGTGACCTTTGTTACTTTGGTCCCAGCTCTCTGCAGGTCATTCACCAGGTCCCCCCGTGTGGTTCTGGGATCTTTGCTCACCGTTCTCATGATCATTTTGACCCCACGGGATGAGATCTTGCGTGGAGCCCCAGATCGAGGGAGATTATCAGTGGTCTTGTATGTCTTCCATTTTCTGATGATTGCTCCCACAGTTGATTTTTTCACACCAAGCTGCTTGCCTATTGTAGATTCATTCTTCCCAGTCTGGTGCAGGTCTACAATACTTTTCCTGGTGTCCTTCGAAAGCTCTTTGGTCTTGGCCATGGCGGAGTTTGGAGTCTGACTGTTTGAGGCTGTGGACAGGTGTCTTTTATACAGATGAGTTCAAACAGGTGCCATTCATACAGGTAACGAGTGGGGGACAGAAAAGCTTCTTACAGAAGATGTTACAGGTCTGTGAGAGCCAGAGATTTTCCTTGTTTGAGGTGACCAAATACTTATTTTCCACCCTGATTTACGAATAAATTCTTTACAAATCCTACCATGTGAATTCATGGATTTTTTTTTCACATTCTGTCTCTCACAGTTGAAGTGTACCTCTGGTGCAAATTACTGACCTCTGTCATCATTTTAAGTGGGGGAACTTGCACAATCGGTGGCTGACTAAATACTTTTTTGCCCCACTGTATAAGGCATCTAGGCCACTTAGGTCCTCAGGAACAGGTATACTTAATATTCCTTGGGCTAGAACCAAACAAAGTGAGGCAGCATTTAGTGTTTTCATGTGTCTCAGTTGTTGAATAAACTCCCCTCACACCTGCGGTGTGTAAAATTTATTAGTTATTTTAAATCGGGCTGAAAAATGTTTTTCTTTTTCATAGCTTTTACATGAAAAATAAATTTTATTGTAAGTATTATATTTTCTATTTTTGTCTTCGTAAACCACATTGAACAGCTTTTGTATGAAATGTGAAATATAAATAAATTTGACTTTGACTTTAGTGAGCTACCTAAAAAAATATCTGTTCCCTTTTGTTGTCGTCCTAACTTTTTCTTCTATACCCTATAGATAGATAGATAAATAGATAGATTCAACCATTGAATCTACAGTGTGCATTCAATGTTTATTTGTAACGTCTTCAGTTAGAAAAACAAATTTCAAGTGAAACATGATTTTTACCTTTCTATTTCTAGTGGCTAAAACCTGATCAGTTCATAACTCTGAGCCTCCATCAGCCACCTTTGGATGCTTTGCATTTTAATTTGGCTGCTCTGCCTAAGCAGTGAGGTGAACTGTCTGGACATGTCATGTCTTCTGTTTATCTTTCTATGATTCTTCTTTTTCTTCCAAGTTCCTTACCTCTTTTACTTGATCTTCTCTTTTTCTCCCTCACACTCAGTCATCCATCTTTGTCAGCCTCTGTGTCTAACCTTCTTGCTTGTTCACACACAGTTTATCACAATGCCAGGCACATCTGACTGCAGTATTCTCTCCCTCTGGCAGCTGGAGGACCAGCCATTCACTGACCCTCTGATTAGACAGTTGGAAAACAAACTGCTTGTACCACTGCGACACAGTGAGCTAGAGCCCACAAACATGTATTTGTTACAACATCAACATCACCTTAGTTTTAGAGACTGCTTTGTTTGTGGAGATGCCTTCTTACTGGATTGTTTTTTGGAGGGAGGGTTTGTTTGACCACTGTTTCTGTGAGTCCTACTTAGAGCCCATGTAAGTGAAATGTGAATAATAACAATCAATTTGATTGTTTGATTTGATGACTGTCAGGAGCAATAATGCTTTAGTCAAGCTTTTCAATTTCTTGCACAACTATGCTAATACTCACACCAACACCAAATAAAGCATATGAATCCAATAGCAGTAAGACAATGTTTCATATGGAAAGGAAACATGTCCAGAAACCAGACAAAGTCACTGAGCACACGGTCGGTTGGGGCCATCTTTCTGATGTATTCGTGGATGTTTGTTGTTCCATCCTGGACTGTGGTGCTGAGACTCACTAGTCCCTGGCCTCCTTCCATCCTCTTAGCATACAGCCTCAGGGTGCTGGACTTGGGGTGAAACCACCATGCATGGTCAGGAGCTTCCTTGTTTTGATGTTAGTGGCTTCTATCGCCTCCTTTGGCCAACTTATTATCCCAGCAGGGTACCTGATCACGGGCAGGGATAGCCTGGATCTTGATCTTATCGTTCAGCTGACTCTTCAGGATTTGCCTGACCCTCTCCAAGTACTTGGTGGTTGCAGCTTTCCTAGCGGCCTCTTCATGGTTCCCATTTGCTGTGGGATCTCCAGGTACTTGTAGCTTTCCTCAGTGTCTCAAAGTTGCATTCTGGTAGTTCGATCCTCTCAGTTCTGACTACCTACCCTCTCTTCATTACAATCCGACTACACTTCTACAATCTGAACGACATTCCATGTCCCTGCTGTAGATCCTGGTGGTGTGGATCAGTGAATCAGTGTCTCATTTACTTTTGGCATACAGCTTGATGTCACGGAGGCGGCTGACAACTGCTCCGTTCCGTAGTCAGTATTTGTAGCCAGTCTTGTTGATGATCTCACTGAGGGGGTTCAGGCCTATGCAGAACAACAGTGGGGACAGCTCATCTCCTTGGTAGATCCCATACTTGATCGTGACTTGTGCTATGGGCTTGAAGTTGGCCTCTAGTATTGTTCAGCACATCCCCATTGAGTTCCTGATGAAGGCTCTTAGGGTCCTGTTGATCTTATATAGTTCTAGGCATTCCAGGATCCAGGTGTGGGTCCAGGATCGAGTCGTAGGCCTTCTTGTAATCAATCCAGGCAGTGCACAGGTTGGGGAGCCGGGTCTTGCAGTCTTGGGTGACTGCTCTGTCTACCAGTAGTTGTTGCTTTGCTCCTCTGGTATTCTTGCCAATTCCTTTCTGAGAGGACGAACCATCATGGAAGGACCCCTGCACAGTATGTACCACCGGCAAATAGAGAAAGTGGTTTGCATCCGGAAATCCTACCAGTGGCTGGACAAAGCTGTACCGAAGGACAAAACAGAGGCACTAATCATGTCAGCACAGGAACAAGCACAAGATCCATAGACAAGTATAACTGGATTCAGATTTTTAATGATGTAAACAACAGGTTTATAACATTAATGTATATTTGTTGCATGGTAAACTTAATTGCTTTCTTCTCTGCTCAGTATTTCCATCTAGACGTTCAAGAGAATAAAATGGAATCCAAAGCAATATGCTGCAGACTTTCCATTACTTCCACAGAAATCAGAATGTTTTCTTTGTTTTTCTTTTTTGTTTTAATTCATAAAATGACAATATTAAGTAGTTCTTGGTCTACCAGTGTTTCTGAGTGTCCAAATGTTTGATGGGTTCATTTTAAGTTTCATAATAGTCCTTAAAGACTAACGTACTAAATGCTTTAAATTGGTTATAGCAAACAAACTGGATAAGGTGTCTCATTGCTGCTGTCAGCTGGCAGTAAGCTATCAAGTTTTCACTGTCTGGTGGAATCGGTCTCACCAGTCTAACATCCGATCATGCGAGCCAACCGACAGCTAACCGGCAGTGTTACTTGAGGTGTTGAATCTACAATTCCCTCTTCAATCAGCGGGATCGTAGCTGTGGCCGCAGACATGAACCTCACAGCCAGGGCGGAGCTGACACAAGCCCCCTGCTGCAGCCCTTTCCCCTGGGTTGGATTTAGTGTCATTAACAGGTGGGCAGCAAAAATAGAAAGAGGAGGCACACACACACAGGAACACACACACACATGCAGTGAAGGGGATGGGTCTGAATGTGTGTGCTCATTTTCGCACAAGTACACTTTGAAGCTGAGACAGCCGTCCAACGCAACTGTCCATGTTAGCGTAAACAAACAGATTCACTTACAGAAGCTACAGTGTGACTGAATACCACAGACACACACACATACACACACAAACACGCACACGCGCCATCTCTTTTTCACCTCCTCCTTCAAGCATGAGCACATGTTACCCCATCTACCCCCCCTCAGACGTAATACTGAGCTACTTTGACCTACACTCCCCCTCCCCTCCCCCCTCACCCTTTCACTTTCCCCTCCCTCAATCACTCCCTCTCCCGGCCTCAGCTCGCCCTCCGTCACTCCGAGCAGAACCACACACACAAAAACCAGGTCAGCAACTTGATAATGTCATTGTTGTGATATTTGTGAGATGGCGGCGAGCGCAGTGAAGCAGGCGTGCAGCACGTGTTAAAGAGTGAAAAAGTGAGACTAATGTGTCTAATTTCAGCATGATAATTTCTGGCTGCTGAACTGTGTGAAGGGGGCTGGGCTGGTGGGGGAATAAAGCTGAACTTCAAACGTTGCCTTTACAGAGTGTTTATGGTGTTTGTTGTGTGTGCGTGTTTGTGTGGGTTCCATGTTGGCTTATTTTTGGATTCACTAAGAAAGTGAGTGAACTTGTTAAAGGTTGACGCTGGACTTTCCTGCTCATGCTTCATTGCTGCTTTTCCAGCGTGTTATATTGGATACCTTATAAGGTGAGACCTGATTGGTTTTGATGAGTAAGGATAGCAGACTTTAATTTTTTTTTTTTTTAAACAGGTGCCCAGACACTTTACATAAGAAATATTTGAAATCAGCTACGAGCAGTTAAATATGTCAGTGATGTTTTGCTGTTGTGGTTGTGTTTGCTGTTGCTTTAGATATGGAAGCTCATAGTGACCACTTTGCACCACTGTTTTTTTGACAAATTGCCTGCAGTGTATTGTTATGTCATTTTTACAGTGTTATGTAGGCGTTATTATAGGAGTGCCAGCACAAAGACAAATGATACCACAAAATGCAATAAATGTTTGGTTTTTTTTATAAAGAGTGCTGCTGTCCTTTGCCCTCTCAGGAGCAGAGTTAACTTTAGTTTTACTTAATTAGGGGGAAAAGTTGCAGTTCTGCAACATGAATAAATCAGGCACAAAAGTGCTTTTAAACAAAAATTTAATCTTGTTAGAAAATATCTTAACACCAGAGTAATGTTACCTATTAATGCAAGATAACCATTTGAGAAAAACTATAAACTATTTTTGCATTTTCTTTTCCACTTTAGTGTAAATGTGCAGATAACACGGATGCTATATAAGAAGATATGTTGAATTTAACTGCTAACAGTGTTTGAACATGTTTGTCATTGGATAAATGTGTGTGCTAACCAGAGCTATTTCAAGTATATAATTACTTTTTCTGAGTTGTGGCTTTCTGTTACTAATCTAGGCCACACACTATGTAGAGAGCCCCTAATGTTTACAACCTAATTTGACTATTAGAACAAATTGCTTTGCAGTTAATACATTTGCACTGTCAAATCACTATAAAATTGTTATAACATTTGTAAATGCCAGTGTCATTAATGATGTCCCCAAGACACTCAAAAAGGTTCTGGTTCATAACCTGCTGATCAGCTTTTGCTGTGGAGTTTGCATGCGTCTGTTTAATTAGTGGTACTAAATTGGCCAAAGGTGAAAATACGTATGGTTGGCGCCCTGTCCAGGGTGCTCGATGTCAGTTGGGATAGGCTCAAATCCTTCTGTGCCCTGCGATAAGAGGTTTAAAAAAACTCTACTTACTGTGCAAGACACTTTCACAATCAACAGAGATAAATCACTATAATGAAGTGCATTATTATATGTAAAGGTTTAGAATTTGAAGATGTGCATTAAGTGGAGGATTTTGTCTGTTAATGTGATCATATGTTTATATTCTACTGTGTTGTTGTGGCTTATTATCTCTGTTTCACAAACCTGACTGAAAACGTCTCTAAGCCTGCACTCTGTGACTTGTTATCTTATTCACAAGGTAGATGCTGATATGAAAGTAAAATTGCGTCTTCTCCCCAGGGAACAGCTTTCATTTTTGCTAACAAGACACAGGGTTGCATGTTGTGTCTGTTGTCACCGCATCTGGGTGGAACTCAGCGGGGCAGCCGCGTCATTCCCCCTCCAGAAACAAAGGGTTTAAGACTGAGTTCACTGGCGATGTGTCTGTGTGACTTCGTATCACAGAGTTTCTCAGAATAGGTAATTGGTCGTGTCTTGAACATGATGAGTATCGCTGAGGTACCACAAAGTATCTCAGAATAGATAGCAGGTTAAGATTTCACTATGCTGACTATTTCTCTATGTGCTTGCTGTCAACATCTCAAAATAGATAATTGATTTTGACACCACCATGCTAAGTGCCTTTATATTGGCTTAGTGTCCTTATGAAAAATGGAGAACAGGGCACAGATAATTATTTCTGATTTCTAGTATTTGCGACCTCTCTCCAGTATTGTGTTCTTCCTTTTTTTAAGTGCACTGATGAAAGCACTGAATCCTGGTTATTTAATGCAGTCATTTTTTTGGCTCAAATTACAGTGGACTTTTGTTACAGAACAGCTGCTTCATGTGGGCTCAGATCACACAGGAATAGAACAGAATAGACATTTTTATGGCCCAATTAGAGTCTTGTGAACTGTTCATTTACTTTTAAGATTGAACAAATGACATTCATGAAAGTTTCTATTTTTGGAGAGTTTGACATTATTTACACCTGGGTGATATACGGATAATGAGACTTCATAATGGACTTTTATATTGTTCACTGACATAAATAACCATCTTGCTTGAGCCATGGGTCAGTCACAATGAAATGTCAAAGCTGGATTTAGTTTTATAATACAATACTTTCTCACAAATAAAACAGGTCTTCAAGAAAAAAATATTCAGCTGCATGGGATATTTTTGGTAAATGTTATGTTACCACCCCCCGAATTCTGAGATTAAAGTCAGATTTCTGAGAAAAAAGTCTGAATTCTGAAAAAAAGTTTGAATTCTGAGAAAAAAAGAATTCAGAGAAAAAAGCCTGAATTCTAAGATTAAAGTCAGAATTCTCTGAATTCTGACTTTCTTTTTCAGAATTCTGGAAAAAAACAAACAAACAAACAAAAAAAAAAACGATGCACCCGTTTTTGTTTTTTTTTTTGTTTTTTTCCCCCGGTGGCCCTAATCCTGTTCCATAGTAAACATCTATAAGAAACAGTCAAAAAATCCTATGGAGTTTTTTTGTTACAGACCTGTGTAATATGTCTTTGTATGAGTTGGGACCTCTGATGAAGTTCACAATGGTTTTAGATGTAATCATTTGATTTAAATTGCTGGGTTTTTTATGAATCAAAGAGCCAGATCATGATATTACACATTTGCATTTCCTGTAATAACATTTTTTAAATTCTGCATATTTAATGCTTTTTGGTTTTTATGTCCAAAAAGATAAGAATTAGTTTATATTGACTTTGTATATGTATATTTGAGAATTCAGATTTCTGTTACTAAAATAAAATTTTATATAATAAAGCCTTTTGCAAAATGACTAGCTGACACTTTTGAATATTTCTGTGACTCTTGCATGTTTTGCACATTCTGTATGTGAAGCCTCTTTTATGATGATATAAACATATTTAATGGCTCTTACATTTTAATTCTTTGTTCCCTCTTTTCATTCTAGGAAGTGTCCTTTCTTACTCTCCTGACCTACCTCTACTGATGTTCAGAAGATACTCTTCTCAGTACATCTTCTTTAATCTGTAATCGTTTATTTTTTCCATGATGATTCACTTAGCGGTTTTGTATCTGTCATCCAAGCCACCATTTTTCCTCAGCATTCTTTTCAAGAGAAGGATAATTGGCACCTTTTCCTCCTAAAGACGTTGTATGTCTAGTTTCTGGTCCCATTCTGGACATTTTAATAGTTTTTCTTTCAATTCCTAACTAGCCATTTCCTCTGTTTTTGCTCTACTCTTAATCTTGAATTGAAGAAAAGCCCAAATCGAGTTAGACCACAGACTGGACCCTGCTCGGCTTCCTTGGTAGTTTTATATTTTCTCAAAATGTGGTCAACGTTTTTTGTGACTGACGAGGAGGGCCGCACTGTAGGCCCAGGGACCCCCGGAGTGGCTGGCGGGCCTGTACCAGGAGGACCAGCCCAGGGTGCAGGGGGTCTGGCCAGCCTGATGAGTGGACGCAGTACATTTGGTGGGAACAAGCGCCGCAGGACAACATCAACAGGACATGCCATGAGTGAGGCCCAGGAGGGAAAGGTAACTGGTTTTATATTGTGTAGATGTATGTTTATTTTCTGGATGCATGATCGTAGTCTGGAGGTAACAGAACCAATCAAATAGCTGCCTTAAGTGAAGTCAAGGTACAGGGAACACACCACAGGATCAGAAAATGGCTCTGAATATTAGAAAATACATGTTTTGAAAAGATTAATTTCAGTTATCTGACAATAAGGTGATAAAGATTAAACTGAAATGCAATCTATAGGTGTCAAATAGGTATGTGACTATGAAAAGCTATTAATTTTCCTATTTCAAAATTGTATTATTTTACTATTAGAACAATTTTCTGGCCTTGCTGTCTGTCATTCATCTGACAACATCAGGCAGTGAGAAAAAATGGGAATGGGACATATCTTTGTTTGGTCACTATAGTCATATATGTGACCAAATCATATATGATTTATGAGTAAAAAAGTCAGCATTATGTGCTTTACAGACTTAGTCTAAATAATCTAAGTAATTTTATGTAACTGAGCTCAGCCAGACACCTCTGAAAGCACCATTTTGATTCTGTGTAGTGCTGTGTGTAGGAGTGATGGGTAGGAGTCCTATTTCTATGCTGCCGTTTATTGTTTGGATGGTATGGAGGATCACAACTGACAAAATTTAAATTACAGAAATAAATCAACAAATTCATCAACACATCCTCAGTAAAATGCCCTAAAAACTACTGTTAAAAATACATTTAGAAATAAATTAATATGTGACAAACTGAAAGTGATGTCTTCATTTCATTTCATTAACTTGCTTGTTTAACTTTCAATTAAATACTCTCTCTCTCATATATATGCAGTATATTTAGTTTTATCTAAACATATTTATTTAAGATGTTTACATCCCGTTTTGTCACTACATTGAATTTGACGGTATTCAAAAGTTATTTATAAGCAATAACCTGTAAATTTATCTAATGGTGTTCTTACTGGAGGCAGTGGCAGTTACACTATTCTTTGCATGAACATCTGGTCATTTGCATAATGACAAAGAAAAGAAATAGCTCTGTCATAGTTTGGGCCTATATTTTAGGCAGTGGGGCTAGGGATATTCCTGAAGACTACTAAAAGAAATGAAAAGAAAGGTTGCCTAAAAGAGTACAAGCTGTCTGGTTTTGCCTTATATACCGCATTGCTTCAATAATCATTGCAACTAGTTCCAATTTTCCAAGCAAAATATAAAGAAATGGTACTTCAAGACTTTTGCACAATGCATGGAATAAAATATGATATAAATGGGGCACATTAGTTAGTCTGTTTATCTTTTGTTGTGTATTAGATTTTGGCAGGTGTGGGTCCCTACCAAATAGGAATAGACTGTATAATCTGGGAATGAACGCTAACAATTAGAGACTAAAGGGCAGCGTGTAAGGGACACTGTAACTGACTACACCTCACGACTTGAGCACACGCCAGTGACAGTACATTTATGAAAAAAAAAATCCTTACGTTAACTTAAATTGTTCTTGTTTTGTCACCAGATCAAATTAGCATTCTTTGTCGCCATTGTTGGTGTAGTCCTGACAGTCCTCGGGGTCGGGACTGAGTTCTGGGTGGAGCTGGCACCGCCGAAGAGTTTCTATAACAATCAGGTGAAAGTCAGACTTTTTTCTGTTCATGAGCTATGTTGCTGTTTTCACTGATAAACAGATGTGACAGAGTGTCTTAGATATTATCTGTCCAGGGTAGAAGTAGTACGGGCTAAAGTACCAACTAAACAGTCATTTCCTTTTAGAAATGAAAGGCTGTTTGGTCCAAAGGGCAAAACCCTGTGATCGATGGCAAAAAATATTACCCCTGATTTTAAATCAACAGTCTTTGTTTTGCAGACTTGTCTGACAGCCCACTATGGGCTGTGGAAGGGCTGCACCAAGACCCTGTGGGTGTCTGATATTGACCCAGAGAGAGAGAGCTGCGGACCTGCTGAACTGGCTGGAGGTGACTTGTGAAATTACTGACTGGTTGGGTGGATGTGTGTCTAACTTTTGGATGATAGATGACTAGTCCGTCTGATGAAAAGAGGTTTGAACAGATGATTGATGGAGCAATCAGCTGACTGGACGTTTGTCAAACTGTCGAGCTTGTTGGACAGTTCAGTTTGAGGGAGAGAGTTAGAATGAAGGAGTGGTCTACCTGACTTTTTGGCTAGACAAATGATGCTTGGCTCACTGTTTGATGGCTGGCAGGCTGAATAGTCTGGCTGAGTAACTGACTGAGTCATTGTTACAGAGTGAAATGGTCCACATTTTGTTTTTGGGTCAAGTGAAGGGATACAACAGAACAAGGACAACAATATCCGGCTTCTGTTTGAGTGTCTAAACACTTGAATTTTAACTTGTGTTCATACTGCATGGGTTTTAATATATCTGTTTTAATGATTTCAAATGCTGTTCTGCCACGATGAGAGAGCGGTGCAGTGTTCAGCAGTGGTTGGCTGGGGCCTGTCTGCGTGGAGTCTGCATGTTCTCGCTGTACTTTCTTCCTATAGTCCAAAGGCATGCACATTAGATAAACAGGTCATTCTAAACTGATCATATGTTTTGATGGAAGAGTATGTGGTGGTATATGTAATCCTTGTGATAGACTGACTTGTCTAGTGTATACCGAAGCAGCAAAACAACTGTCACATTGAACTGCAAAAAACTTCAGATCTCAGAATCCCATTTTAAAATGCCAAACTTTACAGCAATAAAAGTCATGTTTACATCCTGGTATGAAAACAGCTTTGGCTCATATATACTCAGTTTGACCATCCCTTCATACTTGTGCTGTTGATCCATTAACTAATAATTAGAACACTCAAGAATTTTGTGCTTTAGTTTTGGTGAGTAAAATTCTAGTCTATCGGTGTGCTGCACCTATAGAATTTATGGATGCAGCCTGCTAATCAAGCTTGCTATCATTAGCTGATAATGAAAACCTCTAATGCAAATATGGTCTCTTCTTGCTCAAACAGCCCACAGCTGAGGCTTCAAAATGTCCAAAACAGCGCCTCAACACCAATGGACTAAAATAATACCCAATGCTCCAACTCTATGCTGTCATATACCCTACCAGTTCTCAAGCCTAATCAGGTTCTACTGATCTCACAACTTACAGTTTCAGGTGCAGGAGCAGCAGAACAAAATGAGACTGTGGGTTGGAAAACTTTGGAAACATTGTTAAAGCTATTTTGTCAAGGTGTGCTGTGTGGCAGATAGGATGAAGGACCCAAATGCAGCACTCACAGGACACAAGGGTGAACTAAAAGAGGCAGCTTTATTGCGCTGTAGCAAAAACATACTAGGAACCAAAAATCCAAAAACAGAACACTAGAAATTAATGACAAGGAACTAAGACACTGGGAATAGAGGTAGAACCCTACCAAGAACACGGAGGGGGGAAAAGCACACAGCATGGTAACGGTACAAAGCAACACTGACAGAGAGAAACACAGGGCTTAAATACAGTGAGGGGAAATGAGGGAATGAGACACAGGAGGAAAGCACAGCTGGGAGTAATCAAACGTAACAAGACAAGGGGAGGCAAAACTAGAAACACTGCACGCAGGACAGGGACTATGAAAATAAAAACATGAGACAATTCACACAGACGCTTGACACTAAGACGTGGAAACATGACAGACCTGGGAACAGAGGAAACATGAGGCACAGAGGCAAAACTGACTAGACGTGGAACACAGTAAAAAACACAGAAACAGAACAGAAAACCTAAAAACCAGAACTATAATTACCATACAACCAGAAAGCCATAATATAAAAAGTATAACTTAATTCAAAATCAGAAACACTGAATGACCAGACCCAGGACCAGGACATATTTGCAGTATCGCTCCTATTTTCCATGACTCACCTGTATGAACTCCTCTTTTTGCTAAATGATTCGTATAAAAGAACAAAATTGAGATTTTAAGATAAGATAAGATAAGATAGAACTTTATTAATCCCTCGGGTGGGTTCCTCTGGGAAATTCGACTTCCAAAGAAAAGCACAGCAACGACCGAAGTTACAGTTACAAAAAGAGAATTGTTATATATATATATATATATATATACACACACACACACACACACACACACATATATAAATACAGAGACAAATATAAATAAAATATACAAAGGGGATAAATAGAATAAATAGGAATAAGAAAAATAAAAATAAAAATACAAGTGAATTGCACATTTCAAGTATTGAGTCTAAGGACTGAGGAGTCCACAGAGACATCTCTGCATCTTATCAGAGAAGAGATCTCTTTGATTATCATCAAGTGAGAAAGCTTTACAGGGTAATGGGGGTGCAGTAAGATTTTTTGAACATGTGGAAGGAATGAATATGAAGCTGAAACAAGTAAAATTCTTGGCCTGCACCCTGCATCAGGAAAAAGATTCACTGTCAAAGAACAAAACAAACCTTCTTTTATGTTATAGACTCCTTTAAATTGCTAAACTACAATGTTAGAAACTACTGGAACATAGTAAGTGCAGTACACGTGTTACAAAGTCAAACACCCTGCAGAACATCATGGGCAGTAGAACAATAAATGCAATATGTGTCATTTGCAAACGAGCCGATTCTTTGTAGCAAACATCAAAAGCGAAACAACTTTTAACCGCTCCTGCTCAGCTCTGCTGAGAATCTTCTTTATTTTGCTGGGCACACCAAGCAGACCAATCACATGCAAAGACAGGCAAGGATCATAACATTATGTAAAAGAAGCAAGAAGGCAGAGGTTCAGGAGACAACGAGTGCAGCGGTACAGGCAAGAGACAGAGAGACGAGGAGATGAATTTGAATTCAAGGCTAAAGAAACGAGCAAAATGCAAAAGTAAGATAACTCGGAACTGCTAAATTAGGCTAAAATACAATGCTCTGAATGAAGGGCCATTTAGCCAGGCTTTTCTAAGGGAGCCGAGTCAAAAGAGCCAAATCTTTGAAAAGAGCTGGACCACCCATCACTAATATAATATACTCTCATTTTGATCATTTTTTTCTTTTTATATGGTTACATGGATGGTTAGATTTACCAAGGTTTAATTCTGCTTAAACAAAGATATTATGTAGCCATATTGAGATGTCACATAGCACTAATAGTGACGCATACATGCATTCTGAAAAAGCTCAGTGATTCCATTTATGAATGTATGGAGTATAATTTGAGATAAAATCTCCTCTTAATATAATATGGATGTATATAAAGTTTAGCTTTTAGTCTATACTACAACTTTCAATAAAAACTCAAATATTTATTCATTCACAGATTTATTTATTCGAAGAACATGAAAAACAGCAAGTTGCTGAACCCAAACCTCAGAATTTAAAAATGATCATCATTGAATTTTTAGATTTTAGCTCATCCAGTCAAAGGACTGATCAGTATATACCACAACAATGTGTCCATCCATCCGTCTGTCCACAGTTCAGGAGACCTGCTACTCCACCTACAATATTGTCTTCACCCATTCTGTGTTCAAGGTCACATTTACAGGCAATAACCTGGGAACTGATGGATCATGAGTCAGATGAACTGCTACATCACTGACTGTTCTGACTTTCCTGCTTTATTAAGATCCTTTATCCAATTTAAATGTGAGATGTTATTTTAGGGGTTTTCTTCTTAGCCAGACACTGATGATGGAAATGCTGGCCCACAAATTCCTTTGGGGATTAAAGTGTACACATGTTCTGTGGTCAATGAAAGGAAAGTCCAATTATTGCCTGACTGGCCAGCTACAGCGAGCCTTTATTTGTTGATGGGATTTGAATTCTGCCAATTGGGATTTTAGAGTGCTGCAGTGTTCGCTGAAACTCTTATAGCTGCGGCAGCAGAAAAAAAAGAGACCAAGCCAGAACACTGAGGATGCGGCTTTGATCACACTAATTAAGAGTGATGTGTGCGCGTGTTGTGCATGCTCGTGTTTGCCAATGCACAAGGGAACAGATAGAGGTGTCACAATCTATTTGACGGCCAATTTCTAATTACTGTAACACATCATCAAGAAGGCAGAATACAAATTGCGCAGGAAGCATTGGGTTGTCACCTTGAGCTTGTCATTGACGTTCACGGCTGATTATGTTTGATGGAGAATAATTGAAACCAAAGCATCCAGGGGTGGGACGAGGAAGAGGATGTGGGGATGTGGCTTCTTGAATTTCAAAAAGATGATCAAGATAATTTGCAACTACAGGAGATTACCTGTCAGTGTTCATGTCACTTATAGCGATTTGTCTTTCGCTCTCCTTTCGTCTCCTGCAGAATCAAACTGCACGTACTTCAAGTTTTTTACTACAGGGGAAAATGCTGTGATGTTTCAGAAGACGACACAGAAAAGTGAGTCACTTAGGCTCTTTCAGCTGCCCACTCCTCTCTTTTCTTTTTTCTCCACTTGTACCTCTCACTGACCCCACCCCCTCCCCCTTTCACCTGTGCCCTCTCTGCCCTTTCATCTTTATCCTCTCTTATCCTGCCATCACCTTTCCCATGATCTATCCCTGTATTTCTCTGTCCCATTGTTTTCTCTGTGTCTCCCTTCACCTCCTTGCTACGCTCTTTCAGGTTGATCATTGTCTGCTCCCTGAGTGTTTGAAATGCATTCCGCCTACGCTGCGTTCAAGTGCCTCCGAGCTGCTGTCTAACCTCCCATTTCACTGGCAGTTTCATAATGTATTAAGATCACACAGCGCCATACACTGAATGAAGAAAGACGCACGTACATTAAAAACTCATTGTTCACTGGTGCCACATCATTGTCACGCTATAAGCCTCAATCTAGTGATTTAAAGTCGCCACGAGTATGAAAAATAATTCATTTGGAGTCTAATTCAAAATCCATACACCTATCCAAACCTTTTACATCTGAAGATGATTGTGTTATTGGAATAAAAGCACTTTCCAAGACATCCAACATGCCATTTACATCTGTAGCATCGGTGGTTTTGGAGGGACTGAAAATTGTTCAACACAAAAATTTTCTGTTACATTATCTGTAGCTCTGTAGCTAGCAGAGAAAGTGCTGTCTTCTTTTTTGGCAGGATATATGTTGTCAGAATCCAACAAATAAGATGACCCTAAAATTTCTATCTTTTCCCAACTTTATCGCACTACTTTATATTCTGTCTCTTATAGCAGTGGTCTCCAACCAGTGGACCATGGACCAGTCATGAGTTGAGGCTTGGGTGTGAAATTTATAGTTTTCAGGGTTTTTATTGATTTGTATCGTTATTTCTTTTATCGTTAACTCGCTTTCCCTGGGTCTTTTTCTGTGTGTTATGAATAGATGTTCTTTTTTTTGGTACTGGTTTAATTTTTGTTGTATTTATCTGCTACACCTTAAAGGCCAGTCCATGAAAATATTGTTGGACATAAACCAGTGTATGGCACAAAAAAGGTTATGGACCGCTGTCTTATAGTTAAAAAATATATATATAATATACACATTTTCAACTCAAATGTGTCTTCAGTGTAATCTATGCAAAACAATTTCTGCAAATAAGTAGAATCAAATATCACCTATAAACAAACATTTTTTTATTACTACAAGCTTTCTTATTTGCATTTGTATTCCACCTGAAGTCTAATCAAATTTAGAAAGCTCTGGTTGTGTTCATGTAAATGAGTCCATGTGCAGCGCAACTGAGGAAATAAATTTGCCAAAACCTAAACTGTCCAATGACATTTTAGCATTCATAAACAATGACTGGCACATGGAAGAGGAAGTCTTGGCCTGGATATCAGCTGGTTTTACGGGAAAGGTCAAAATACTAACTTTTATCTCCAGAATCTAAATGAGTGTATGCTAGCCAAGGGTTTTCCGATTTTGTGTTCAACCTAACTTGTGTCACTGTTCATGTGGACGTAGCGCTTTCAGTGGGAGAAACGTTTCATCACTCATCCAATTGACTTCTTCAGGCTCAGCTGCAGGTTTCCCCAACCTTAAAAACAGTACATTTGCACATTGACTGAAACCAGCCCACTGAATGAACAATGGGCTGTGAGGTCACTTGGATGAGTGACGAAACGTTTCTCCCACTGAAAACGTTACGCCCGGATGAACAGAATCAACCTTTTAGCATTTACTTACCTGGATGATTGAGCATGCCCCAAAACATGAATTTAAGATTTAGTTTGGGTATACAGTCACAATGTTAGTTGAGCATTTATTACAACAGAGTGATTCACAAACTGGAATGTTAAGCAGCTTTTATTTGAGCAAGCTCCTGAAACCTCATGCCTTAACATGGAAGCTGTGATTTGCAACATGGGATCATTCCCATTGCTAATTTTTCATTAGTCAAACCAAACTGCGTACAAAGCTGCTTTATCATTCCTACTGGAAATCATTTGCAATTTGTTACTGTCATTCCTCAACTGTGTCACCCCCGTCATTAGTGAACTGGCTAATTGTGTATATTTTTTCCATGAAATAGACTCCTACTAACACAAATATAAAATGGTTTACGTATCATTTGTTCAACCTTGCTACGAGCTGTTACACACGAAAGCCCTGTCCGCATTTAAAGCGATTTACTCGTCATGCATCGCTTTGTTGCTGACAGTTGATTGCTACAGAACAAGGCGCCAGTTGTGTATGTAACCATCTAATGTTTTTACCACTTCATCATTTCAGTCAGTGGTATCCTCTCTGGTAGTCTCCTTCTGTGCTGACACCCCCTAATGCTATGCTACAGCAACATTACAGTGAGACAAAAACAATGGCGGCATTTAAAAGGCAGCAGCTGGTTACAAACTTGTCCGCTCTGTCTTTTAGATACGATACATTTTTCCCTGTTGAACACAGAAATAAATGAACCACCTTTTGATCGAGTTCTGTCCAAAATCCACTTATATTAACACCGTCATTATTCCCTATGTAGATCTGAATGTGGCAGCAGCAATGTTGGCCCTATTCAGCCTGTTTCTGATGGTGATGGGCGCCATCTGCATCACTATGGCTCTCAGTAAGGAGATCCTGTTTTTCCTTAAACCAGCATCTGTATGCTTCATTCTGTCAGGTCAGTAAAGGTGGCAGCAAAGTTACCCTCACAAAGGCAAATTTATCCAAAACTATACCTCTCACAGCTCGTTCTGGTTCCTCCATCACAGGTGTTCTGGTGCTCCTGTCCCTCTTGGTTTTCCACCAGTCTGTTTTGGCTTTTCTTGCCAGCAATCACACAGTTCCTCTCCACCATGAGCTCTCCTGGTCAGTATCGTGTATTGGCTGTGCGGGGGCTGTCCTCATCGTGGGTGGGATCCTCTTCCTGCTGTTGGCGTTGCCCTACAGCCCCTGGCAGAAGTGCCTCCCTCACAAGGACAGCAGTAGCTAGTGGACTGGAGGTGATGGTGCATTTTATCTGCCCCTCTTGTAAGGGGGAGGGTGCAGAGAAGTGAGGAGGTTTCCCAGAGATGTCTTACCAAAGAGATAGCTTTTTCTGTTGACTTAGAGCAATTTTGTTAAAAGAGTCGCTGGTTTTACTTTAGTTACTGCATTTACCAAAATATGCCATTATCGTATCCTAATTTAGTAAAAAATAGCTTTAATTTCTTTCTGTTGCACAACAAGCCATTAATTTACAAAGAATGTGGTGACCTTATTGCTCAGATGTGTGTGGGAAACACTTCTGTATTGTCTTACTAATGATCTTGCAGGGTTTAGAGGCTATTGTTGTTAATAATTCAAAAATGATTTAAAAAAAAGAAAAGAAAAATTTTGTTCCTTCCAACTTTTTTTTTTTAATATTCATGATTTTCATCCCTCTACTTAAACTCACTACTTATTTAAGAATTTGCTGAAATGCCAATTAAAATATCTGCCACCTTCACTGCTAACATTTTTATGATGCTCGACACATATTAAAATGCTTTCCAGTTAATTTCTCTCCTTATTTATTATTCACACAGCTAATTCACCCATTAGCTAATAAGCTTTTAAAATGACTTTTGTTCTGTGTGTTTACTCTGAGAAAGGTTCTGCTCATAGATGCACAATTGCACAAGCCGAGAGCATTCAGCAGTTAAATGTTGTGTTAATGTCACTCTTGTTTTACCCCAAATACATTTACTGTGGCTACGCTTCGATAGCTTTCTCATTTTCTTTTAAAAAGCTGCCTTTCTGCTCAGGTAACGATGTGACCACACCATCATCAGAACTGTGTGCTGACTGCCAATTTGAGAAAGTCATAAAGTTTATTTTTAGTGATGTGTGAAAAAAAAACAACCCTGATTGCCTTTTCTCCCGCAGAGCTCCTTTATTATTGCTATGATGTTTTTTGTTGATCCTTTGTGTATATTGAGATTATTTCGAATTACCTGCATAACCATGTATGAGCCCGTCTTCTTGAAATTACAATTATATGCATTTAATTCAAAACAAAATCACTTTTGTAAATTTAAAAAGAAAAAGCTGCTAAATTGTGTATTTACTGACAAAAACTTGTCAGTAAAATATAATTGTTACTGGGCTGTATCCCTCTGAATTGGATAAGCAGAAGAAAATGGACGGTACATGCTTTTAAAATGGTTTTCAGTTATATTTTTTAAAAGCCAAAAAGGGATCATGTTGCGGGTTAGCCATGAAGCTTCTGCAGCACTAAATAATGCTGATATGATTCAATATCACTATTGCTACTTGGTTCACTGGAAAACATTAGAATTTCTGCAGTAATCAGAAATGGAAATTATAATAAGATCAAAGCTTGTTTGAGTATATTTTCAAGGTCATATATGAGCTTACAAAACTTTCCATATATTTGGCTGATAAAATAAATGATCACAATTCACTGTGTTCAACGTATAAATATAACTTCAAGGAGACAGGTCCATCCTGTTGTAATATTGTACCAGTACATATACATGTATTTATATATATATTTGGCTGTTATAAATGTAGCGTAACACTCCTGTCTTGTCATCTTCATCACATGCAGATACAAGAACACTGTAAGAACAGTATTGGTTTGACATTTTAAATGTAAGTACAGAGGGGACTACACAGTCCTGCAGAAGCTGCACTGTGTTAATCAGCTGCCAGGTTTTTACCTTCAAGGTTTTTCTCGGATGATTTCTGTTAAAACAAAGTGCTTCTCTGCCTGAATGAAGGGTGAACTGTCGCTGCAACTTTTTTGAACTGAATCGACTGAGTATGAATGAGTTCATTTCATTATTAAACATCACATGAATATTTAATGTCATCCTCTATCAGGTTCCATTTTTCTCCTATTCTGCACTCTCAACACGTTCTTGGCTTACAGTCGCTGCCTCCACTATCGCTGCTTTTATGAACTGTCCCACTTTACACCTCATAACTGAACTGTTAACTACATGCTCTATTTCATACTTTTTCTTTGGGTTCTGTTCATTGGAATCTCATCAGATTAAAATGCTGTGTAATATTGCAGAAGTATTATTCTGTATTTTGAATAAAAAACATGCTTTGAGATTAAAACCTGAAGTCTGGCATATACTGTACACCAGGATGTTTGAGTAGATCAGACCTGTCCTTGTCCATCTCGCTGCATCTAAATGATCAGGTGTGTAAATGTTTGGTGGGTCACAATTTGTTTTTTGTTTTTTTTTTACAAAATTGGCTCTGCTTGGCACAACATAACAAAGATGTGTTGTGCCACAGTGATTTTTTTTTTTTTTTTTACCAGTATGTTTGGTTCACAGTAGGGGTGTGATGATATATGGGTACTAATGATATTTGTGTATGTAAAAATGAAATATTTATGGAATTTTAACACATATGATTATATTCTGGGCGATCCATTGCTAAATAACTAAATAACAGGAGCACTACTGGATTCTCTCAAACCACCATTTGTCATGGAAGCCTGTCACTAAGCGCTATGATGTAGCCTCAGCTTATTTACACATTTTATGGCTGGCTAAAGTTTGGCCGGCAGCTTCTCTCACACACCTGGAGATTCAGTTCTCACAGCAAACATCCTTAGTGGGACTGAGTTACTCACACAAGTGCAGTTTGGCTGTCATGGTGTTGCTGAGGAGACAAGCAAACTGCTCAGGACTAAATTCCTAATTTATTTACAGATTAAATTACCACTCCTGTCCCTATCTCAGCTCTGAGTGTTTAAGCTAACCCTAGCTGCTACATTAAATGATGCCACTCTGCCCTGCACCTCACATACACTCGCAGGTGTGTCTACACTTTGTGGATGTGATGATACACTTGCTCTGTGTTAGCTTCATGGTGCTTTGGTATAGGTATGATGCCGGTGACATTTGTATAACATACACTTATACTTTGACATTATTTTGCATCATCAACAGTAGGACATGCATTTTTGTGACTACTTTATATGTGCATGCATTGCACAGTGGAGCAGAATCCACTATGTGTGATCCACAGGAGATCCAGAGACCAAACAGCAATCTGCAGGCTACAAAGACTGAAGATGGTTCAACTGGTATTTTTCATCATTCATGGGGTTGTGAATTTGTGACCCGGGGTTAAACTCCCCACTTTTCTTACATATCACATTGTACCCCCTGCAGCTGTGTCCTCCTCTCCAAGGTAAAATTCAAGTTGAAGGGCCAGTGTCTTGATACAGTCCCCAGCTGGCGTTCCAGCATGTCCTCTGGGCAGTGCATGACATGCATTCAGAACAGGACTTCAAGCAAGCATTTTGCAAGTGACAGGAGCACTTCGAGCAGTGTATCATTGCTACCTAATACGGCATGTGTTTTCTTTTTATAGGCACAGTCAATACTTTTCGATTCCACCACCTCGCATACGCAGGTGTGTGACAAACGTAAGTTGTAAATGTAGTTCAAGTGTCAACTAGATGACACTATGAGTAAGGTAATAAAGTTGCCTTAAAGTCTATATTTATCCTGCTGCTGAGTTCACAAAGAGACATATAGATACTGTACATGTGAAATAAAAATCACAAAATTATCAGCTGAATCTTATTAGTCAGTAAAGGCAAAAGTTAGCAGGTGAAGATCCAGTTCTGAGTCTTTATTAAGATTTCTTCTTCCTGGCATTTTGGAAAAGAACAACAGGAAGTAAAAGTCTGGAATTTATATAGCACGATTCAATATTAGTTAGCACAGAAGGTACTTTAAACTGTAACTCACAGTGATTCACAATTTCATACATTCAAAGATACTAATTCATAGATTCAACTATACTACTCAAAGGTTATTTAACCTCATGTGAATTGAGCACAAGTAATCTGACTGTCAGGTTAATCCATAAAATATGAATTTTCCTAATGTGTCCTGTAATCTTTAGATGTATGCCACACAGAGCCTTTAGCTCACATTCTGATCTTAAATTCAGTGGAAACCAGAGAATTGTGAATAATATTAGCACTGTTATCAGCTGGGTTTTGGATTGCACTCAGTCTTCACTACAGCTGCTTTCTTTGTAATAAGGAAAAGGAAAACTCAAAACATCTCTTCAAAGGATATTCCTACTTATTGCACATGAATATTTTTTTAATCTTGATATTTGAACAAATTTGACTTATTAAGACAGCAAACTGTAAAGAACTGCAGAAAATGAGAAAAGAGAAAGAGTGCAATGACATATAACAAAGGTCCCCGGCTAAATTTGAACTCTGAACATTTCAGTTGCATGTTACATGCTGTTATATGATACAGTACACATTTAGACGGCCAGAACACCATCTAAATCACCTTCTTCACATCAGCAACTACTAACATATCCAACATTATCCTTTTACATTTTATTGAATTTGTAAGTGTAAAATAATCCGGTGTTATTACTTTCAAATCAAACAATTATCCTATGCTCTTTGGCTAATGGCAGATGGTTATGGAACAACACTCTGGATCACTGAAGGATACCATTAAAACGTGCAGGGATAAGAATGGTTTTTGAGTGCATTTTCATGCAGCATGTACAAATTGCTCAGATCTGGATTTTCAGAACCCCGCACTGCCTTCATCACTGGTTCAGTTCTTGTTATCATGCTCACGGCACAACTCTGTCACCATGTTGACCTCCTTCCAGGCTCGCGTCTCTCTGAATGGTCTCCCACGCTGTTTGGCTGCGACCTCCTGGCTAAAAATAAACCGTGGCTAATAGGACTGACGTAGCAGGAGAAACACAAACCTGGAGACGAGCTGTGCATGCAAACACACTCAAATTTATTTGTTCTGAGACACATTTACACACTGGATCTCTTCTCTGCGTGGTGCACAGATTTGATGATACACGTGGTACTCACTGGGTGAGCACAGTGTGAATCGGGTTTAAACTGAACCCCTGGCATCGTGCATTCCTGACATCATCCAATCCACTTTACTGCACCACAGAGAATCAAATTATCATCCTGAGTTTAATAGGAGAAGCTATAAAGTGAAGCAAGCACAGATAGCCTAAACTTTTAGAACTACAACTTTTCTCATTGCGTCGGCAGTCTGCACCAGGCCCTGCGCATTTTCATCCTCCCCTGATTTACAGTACATAGTGTTTTACATCTAAACACCTGCCACTCATGTTCAGTCAACGTCTGAGGAACCCTGGAGATAATCAGGCCCCTCCAAATTGGCCAATGTGCCTGTCATTAACAAACTGGACTCAGTTTTCAGCTTGAGTTGTAGTTTTCCATTTTTGATATTACCTTTGCCTAGGTTATGTTTTCATTCTGATCTTGTTAGTTACTAACTTTTTTCTTTCCATCCTATGTTCCGCATGCCAAGTCTGAGTTTTTTCTTTGTCTTTACTTGGGCTTATCAAGCTCATGTGTCTTAGTCTCTGTGTCAGTGTTAGTTTCCTGTTTCCTCAAAGCTCCATAAGGAAAACCAACTTAAGTCTTAAAGTTCACCAATCTAATTAGGAAGCACCCAGGGTGTGACTGAGGGAAAGGATTGGACTATCGAAACACACATGAGGGTAACCAGGGAAATGGAAATCGGGGGAAACGAGATGTTGCGCAATCAACGTAATCATACACAAGAAATAAAACTACAGATAAGACAGGTAAAGCAGGAAGTAACAAATGAAAGATGACACAAAGAAACACTTAGAGGAGGCTCGCAAAATACACCGAGATACAAGGAATCAGTTATTAACAGAGATGGGTAGCAACGTGTTACTGTAATCTGATTACTTTTTCAAGTAACGAGTAAAGTAAGGGATTACTATTGCAAAAAAGTAATTAGATTACCGTTACTTCCCCGTAAGCACGCTGATTCACTGCGTCGCTAAACCGTGATTTCGTTTGTGAGAGTGTCTCATGACAATGAGATAAGCGCATGCGACGTTCGTGGTAACAGACGTGTGCAGATCAACAATGGATAATATATCGAGTACGGGAGAGAGTACAACTGTGCAGCGTTTAAAGCATGGATGTACTCACATTACTTTGAGTTTGATTCCATAAAAAGTGACAAAAACATTGGCGTCCGCTGTAGACTGTGTGGGAAGAAAACATCTTTTTACAGCAAAACCCCCTAAACTTCTGAGCGAGCAGCGAGCACGCTGCCGCAGGAATGTGACATTCACAGAGAAACCCCCGGATCCTCGCACTGACATGACCGCTGTGCAAATGGGCAAAGCTCCACCAGTCCCACTCCTGCTAAACAGGTGAAAATAGAAGTAAGAGCGACAGGACTTAGTGCCGCTGAATCTTTGATTTTATTATTATTTATTTTTTGTTGTGTTTTACTTGCATCTATTTGAAAGAGTGAGTGTAAACACAAAACATTATTTTACTTATATGCTGGAATATGCCGAAAATAGTTTAAATCTTAAAACATTTCGTCAATTCAAAGACTGTTGCATATAATTTAATTTTTGCTAGATGCTATGTGCATAAAGTTAAAAGATTAAAACTAATAAAACAATTTTAAAAAGAAACTTTTTCATTTGATTCAATTTTATACGATGGATCATGCAGAAAAAGTTGGGCTGAAAGGTCTGTTGCTTTATTACGTATTCAGGTATCATGTTTTTAAAAAGTAACTAAGTAACTAATGAATTACTCTTGAAAATAAGTAAAGTAACAGGATTACTTTTTGGAGAAGTAATCAGTAATTAGTTACTAATTACTTTTTTCAAATAACTTGACCAACACTGGTTATTAAAAAGTAAATAAAATGGTAAATAGAAACTGCATTTCAGAAGTGGCAACACAGGAATATCTGTGAAAACAGGGCGAAATCTCCATGAAGTTATTCATCACAGTGCTGTCACAAAGCTCCTTGTCCCTGTCATTTGTACTGAGATTCAGTCCCATGTGGCCCTGAATCATTGCACCCTTTTAAATTATCCTGTTATGAGCCCAGCCTATCCACCTTTTAAATTATTCACAGTAGGAGCTCAACATGTTTTGAATGTTCAAACTTTAATGCCAAATGAAAACTCTGTGGAGAATCAGATTTAAGCCACAACCTCCAATAGCGATTCACATGCCGTGTCATGGAATCTACCAGAAAGAAAACACAGTGCTC